GTGAGCGCGGAGAGAGCGGCCTGAGGGGTGGCGGGTGTGGTGCGGCCGACCGGGCAGGTGCAGCGGGGCCTGAGCCCAGCAAGTGTGCAGGACTGGGCCAGGTGTGCGGCGGGCAGCGTGGAGGCAGGTGTGCTGGCGGGGACGGCGTGCTGGTGGGGCAGCAAGGTGTTCCCGTGCGTGGGGGAGGGGGGCGGGTTGCACTAGTGAGGGTCACTCGGTGTATACATTGTGGTGTGTGTGTAAACGTATAGCAGAGGAAGATCAAGACGTCGTCCTTGAACTTGCGTTTCTTGGGAGAGGGCTCAGAAGGAACCGGTCCTGTGCGCCTCCATCCCTCCTATGGGATACCTGGTGTAACTGAAGTTTCCCCAGATCCTTGGATACAGGTGTTGAAATTGGGGCCCTGCTCAGGTCTGAATTGAAAGACTGGACACTGGGTGAAAAGGCAAAAGAGGAGGGAGGAGGCCTATATTGGGTTCCTGGCCCCTCAGGGGCTGGACGCTGCACCCTAATAGGACTTTTTCTTTGCACCGCCCTCTGCCTGGCTTCCTGGACTTCATGGGGATGACTAAAGATTGAGACTGTCCTGTTGCCTCCGTGTCACTTCTGTGAAAGCATGGTTGGTGACCCTTCAGAAACCGCAGCCCCAGGACTACACCTGGGTGCTGAAGTGGAGTTCAAGCAGTGCTGCTTAGTTGGGGGCTATGGTCTGAGCCGGTTTGATCACTGATGTGCTTTGGGCAGGGCCTGCTAGGGCAGGAAGGCAGGCAGGTGGGAAGGCAGCATTGGTATTACAGTGGCAAGGGAAGGCATGCACCAGGAAGGGGTGCTAGGAGGACCCTGCTCCCTGTGAGCTGGCTTGCCTGCAGTCAGGAGAATGCTGTACAGAGGCTGGGCAGTGTGGTGAACATGCTCCTCTCTTGGTCAGCAAAGCTCAAGACTCAGCTCCATGCTCAGATAGGAAGAGACATTTGGACAGCTGCTTCCTTTTCTTTTTTCTTTCATTTCTGCTAGCCAAGCATCCTGTCATCACAGCTGCCTCTGGTGTATAGCAAAAGGCAGCCTGGGATGCCAGAAAGAACACTGACCAGAATCCCCAGGAACCTGCTCACCACTGGCCCTTCCCAGGCCCTAGTTCAGATATCTGTAACATGGGCCCATGCTCCATGGTCATGATGAGGTGAGGTGGTGGGTTTAAAGCCCACCTCCTGCCACTTTCTAGCAGTGACCCTTGGACAGTTTGCTGCACGTTCTGAATCTCGGTTTCCCTGATCAAATAGAGCCAATAGCTGGATGGGGTGGTACTTGCATTCTGGAGGTGGACATAGAAGGATCAGAAGTTCAAGATCATCTGTAGCCATCTTTGACTACATACCAAGTTTGAGGCCAGCCTAGTTTACACGTGGCCCTGTCTCAGTTCTTCCATCACCAAGTAGGGCTAATTTTACAAAAGGTGTGTAGATTCTCGTTTAAAAAATGTGCACGGAACACGCCTAGCACAGAGCCTGGCACTTAACAAGAACACAGTAATTGTTCGTAAATAAAAATGAGTGTCCAGCTGTGTTTCACTTCTCTCTGAAAATCTGGTTTTATGCTCTGAGCAATTGATGATCCAATGAAGGCTTTAACTGGAGTTAGACTTATGGATTCCAAATTTCAATTTGCAGTACATGACAAGGTGTGCACTTTCAGCTCATGGGGGAAGAGATCGGGAAACATTCTAGGCCTTTCTTTGCTATGCACTCTTCCTCCACTCTCTGTGTGTGGCAGCACTCTGGTCCTAGAGTTGGGGACAGATTGGTTCACTACTGCAGGCTCACAGGGCCAATTCAGCCTTTGTCTAAACTCTCTAGACACAGAGATATTGGTACACGCCTCAGATTCAGTGGGCAGCTTCTTCCAGTTAAAGAGTTGTAAAAAGCCTAGAACTCAGTTTAGAAAACAATGCTGGAGCCTGGCATGGTGGTATACCCCTTTAATCTCAGCACTGGGGAGGCAAAATCAGGCAGATCACTGTGAGTCCAGCCTGATCTACATAGCTAGTTCCAGGCCAGCTGGAGCTACATGGAGACCCTGTTTCAAATAAAATAGAATAAAATTAACTTTTAAAAACAATGCTGGGGGCTGGACATATACTCAGTGTGTAGAGTTCTTGCCTAGCATGCATGAAGCCCTGGGGTTCAGCCCCAGCACTACATAAAATCAGGTGTGGTGGCACTCACCTGTAATCCCTGCACTTCGAAGGTAGGGACAATGCAAGAGGATTAGAAGTTCAAGGTTATACTTGACTGAATATTGACTTCCAGGCCAGCCTGGGCTATATAAGACCCTGTCTCAATAAATATTATATATTAAATATATATAATTTATATTAAATATTACACACACACACACACACACACACACACACACACTTACTACCCAGGTGAGTAGGGGCCCTGCCTCAGTGCAAATGAGAGGTTTGTGGGGGGGACCCCGTAAAACAAAAATCCCTGTATTTTCTAAACTTGATTTGCAATGAGCATTTCTGTTTTTTTAATGTTATTACAGCCTTTATACTAATATTAAAATTTTGATCCTTTATGAAAACTTGAGGAAATTTTACTGGATAGGTTAAGCATCTTGTCTTGGTCTGAATCCAGTCCTCATTAGAAATACATTAAAGTAATCATTTGTGGCAGACAGGTGTTTGGGTTCTGCTGAATAATTTGGCCCAGACTTTACAACTCGTCTCCTCTGTGGCATACCTGACCTGTTTTTTTACTTATTAAAAAATACATGACTGCTAAATAAATGCAGAAATAACAACTCAACTCAGGGCTACCCCAAATGAGATTGAGTGCCTCCTGCAAAATATGTGCAGAGATCTTAATAACCAAGACTTGAGATCAAGATTTTTTTCTTCATGGTCAAGTAACTGCTGTTAAGTAAATTAAAATTCAGTGAAAATGATGTGTAAGTTTGATAACTGCCTGGCGTCTCTTAGGCATGTGATAATTCTGTGCTGTTTGAAGGTTCTGTATTGAGGGAGGGGTTATGAAGTCACTGCCTGAGAGCCCATTACTGTGGCACTTTTTACCACTTCCCTTTGCCCCTCCCTTTTTCAGTTATAACTGTCAATATAACTCCTTTAGAATGTATGTAGTATGTACATACATATATACACTCATGTACAATATTCATACTGATATGCACACTATATGCATGGTATATACATATACTCTGTGTTTATGGTATACAAATATATGTGTGTGGGCATTCACCTGCACACACAATCATCCTTTGTATCTATGGGTATTGGTTGCAGGATTGTCCATGGATACCAAATCTATGGATGTTTTAAATCCCTTACATAAAATGATATAGTTGCATGTAACCTATATGCATGTTATCATTTACCTTAAATCATCTCTAGATAACCTGTAATGCTAATATAACATAAATGACTGTTATACTGTATTATTTGGGGAATAATGACAGGAAAAAGGTCTTTTCATGTTTAATATAGACATTTTATAGCTCCACCTGGCCTCAAATTCACTATGCAGATCAGGCTGGTCTTTTACACAGATTTATCTGCCTGCCTCTGCTTGCTTGCGTGCTTTCTTTCTTTCTTTCTTTCTTTCTTTCTTTTTTTTTTTTTTTAGGTCTTTTTTTGAGACAGGGTCTTCCTGTAGCCCCAGCTGGCCTGGCCTGGAACTCGCTATGTAGACCTGGCTGGCCACAAACTCACAGAGATCTGCCTGCCTCTGCCTCCCACGTGCTGGGATTAAAGGTATGCTCCACTATGCCTGGCTCCCCCCCCCCTTTTTTTAGGTGTATGAGTGTTTTGCCTGAATGTATAAAAGTATATTTTGTCATGCAAGGCCCACAGAGGCCAAACTCCTGGCACTGGAGTTACAGGCAGTTGTCAGCTACCATACTGGTGTTGGGAACAGAACCCAGGTCTTGCCACGCAAGAGCAACCAGTGCTTTTAACTGCTTAGCCATTTCTCCAGCCCCTCCCAAATATTTTTGATATGGGGTTTGGTGTGATAGAATCCATAAATGTGGAACCCATGGAGAAGGGGGACCAACTGTATGTTTCCTTTTATTTAAGTAATTTTTATTAGTGTGCCTAGGAGAAAGGGTATATCAGCCATGAGTAGTTACATAGATATGTGCCAGGATAATATCAAGATGACAAGTTAGACCTTAGCTGTCTTTTTCTTCCCTCTCTCCTTCTCTTTTGGGTCACTGAAGGCCCATGCTCTATAACTATATAACTAAGCTTTTTTTTTTAAGCTTGTTATTTACTGTCTCTTTTGTGTTCATGTTGATCAAGTGCTCTACTGATAGTCAAATAGAGGAAAAGTTGACTTTGATACAAGCCAATATATTTGTTACTTTCAGCAAATTTCAAGATTGAGTCATTAAACAAATGGATGTGGGGTTAACCTGGGGTGCTGTTCAGTAAGAACAATTTATGTCACATAAATAAATAAA